CAATCTACTCCCCTGATATTCATTCATATAATTCCAGAATATTTATAATAGTCCCAGATTTCTAGTTCAGATCCGTTTTCTTTTACAAAATTATCAAATTCATTAGATTTTGAAAATATTGCCCCAAGGTTTCTTACCTGTTTTCCGAATGACGTGACCTTTTTGCTATTTTACCTTTATTCCAGGTTCTTGGTTTGGACAGGCTACATAGTATATTGCAAAACAGGGAGGTCAGAGTTGGACAGGTGAAGCATTTTTTAAATTTCCCTTATGATGTTTTCTCCCACCAAAACCTTTCTAGAACCTGACAAGTTTCCATGCCAGTCATCAATTTATAGTCTCTCAGCTCTAAATTCACCCTGATGGGGCTCACCTGCTGCTTTCTGGCAGCTCCACCATCAGTAAACGAGGTGGGTATAAAGACACCAGGGAGTTCTCTGCCCCAGTCACAGTACCAGAATGTATGGTTCTCCTTGGCGATCTCGCAGACCTGGCCCAGGCTGGTGATCACCTTCCTTCAACTTTCCCAATACAAACCCCTTACGCTCCAGGTGTCCAGCCAGCACTGTCCAGCATGCAGAAAGATCCTCACTCCCTCTCCAGGCCCACACCCAGACACCTGCAGCTTCCCTGAACCTTGGAGAATGGCTTCCTGCTTGCCTAGTAACTGAAAACCGACTCTGGTCTGGACAAACCAGTAAACTGTGCCATCAAGTGGACTGCAGCTACCCCTTCAACAAGCTCTGACCCCAAATCTTAGCTCCTTCTTACAAGGTTGTCCTTCCTTCAGTACTCTCCCTTATCTCTGGGGTACCATATAGAGCTCTCTTATATCTTATCTCTTTTGTCACAATTAAAATTTTTTCCCCCCTGTGGAACCCGGGAGAGAGGGAGGCAGCCAGGTCCAGGGAAATACCACTTCTTCAGCTGCTGCAAATGCTGAACCCCTGGGAGTCTGACCAGTTTAAAACTTTTTTTTATATTAAGCTTCTCTTGTTTACAATCACTGTGTGGTTTCTGTTTCTAGATTGGACCCAGACTGATAGTTTCCCATCAAGCCAGGCTCAAAGAAGCAACACAATGAAAACCAGCCACTGAAAGTTTCCCTTGACTTAGTCCTAGATCTGTAAAATAGTTCATGTACCTGATGAAATGCAGAATATATAAAAAAATCAAAAATCTTAAAAGTTTTCAGGGCTCAAGAGGTTAGAAAGCTTATAACCAAGTCATCCAAAGTACAAAAATGTTAATCTTATTTGATAAACTGCAACATCAAAAAAGAAATCTCTTCCATAATAGGTTTAATTTACCTCATTTTAAAAAGGATTTGCAGGACATCACATTAATAAAAGACGTGGTTTCTCCTATCTTGAGCTTACAACCTTATATAGGAAATCAGGCTTAGAATTATCAATTAACACTTTAAATTTACATGTTTCTGGTTATACATCATTATGTAAGAGATACTATCAAGGAGACAAAACAAAATCAATCATCTAATACTTTTTGAGACATTTTCTCCCCTAGGGATACAAATTTGCTACAAGAGGAATATCAAAAACATAAACAAGAAATATAACAGCTAAATGAGCGATGGGGAAGGAAAATAGAGAGCCAACCTACCAGAGTTTGGAAGGTGAGAATGTTTGGAAAAGTAAGTATAAACTGTCAGAGCTTTAAAGAAATGGCAGAGTAAGCTTTAAATAACCAGAATGAAAGAAAACTGAGTATTTCAAGTATGGGAAATAATATGCATAAAGGTGAGAATATACATAGAAAGTTTGGGAGAATCTGAGTAAAGCAATTTAGCTGCAGCAAACTTGCTGAAATAATCAGTAAGATTACAGTGGCAGTGTGTACAACAGTATCTTGTAAACACTAGTCAGGATGTCTTTGGATGTATGAACTGAAAATGAGGGGAGGAATGGTTAAGGGTGAAATAAATATTAGGAGGCAAATGGACTCATCTCAGTTAATGTAACGAAGTTGCTACATTGTAAAAAAAAAATTGTTACGCAGACATGTCTGGTCTACCGTAAGGACAATGTAGGATAAACTGGGAGGGTAAAAAACTAATATTTTTGTTCAAAAAAGGAAAATGATCTTAGCCACAGATGAATTTTGCCCCCTTTCATGCTACTTGCCTACTGTCAAGTTTACTTCTTGAGAGCACTTCTAACAGAGGTTTTGAGACATAGTGAAAGGTGGGACAGGAAAAAAGGAAACAAATACAAAATGAGTAATTCCACATATTCAAAACATAGGGGGAAAAAAATCTTGTCATGATTTATCTTCAGGCAACATTATGGTATAACTGCATATGATTTAACAAGACATTATCCCAAACATTAAATACAAAATAATAACCCCCCAAATCCACATTTATAAATTTCAACAAGAAATAACATAACTAGAGAGACATATAACCCAAACAAACCCAAGAAGACAGAGTTCCTCAGTTTGGTCAGAAATCTCTATGAAGATGAAATGAATTGCCCCAGAAAAAACTGAGAGTTCTTACTGATAACAAAGAAAATACACTTGAGTTTCAAGTCTTCACATATGCATCACACTTTTATCGCTTGATCTCAAATAATTTTTGGAATTAGGTTAAATTTTTTCATGCTCAATTAAAAATCTGAAATGTCTTATTCAAAATTTTATCACTTTTTCGGGCTTCCCTGGTGGCGCAGTGGTTGAGAGTCCGCCTGCCGATGCAGGGGACACAGGTTCGTGTCCCAGTCTGGGAAGATACCACATGCCGTGCAGCGCCTGGGCCCGTGAGCCATGGCCGCTGAGCCTGCGTGTCTGGAGCCTGTGCTCCACAACAGGAGAGGCCACAACAGTGAGAGGCCCGCGTACCGCAAAAAAGAAAAAAAAAATTTATCACTTTTTCTATTTAATATTTTTCAATATACCTAAAAGAGAGAAAAAGGTTGATAAAACTTTATATTCACAATTCTATTTTTAAAACTAATTGTTCTCATCTGCTTTAAATTCCCAACTCAGCAGTCTCAATACTGTTGTCTCCTTTTTTTCCTCTGGAAATCTCAAAATAAAAAATACTGAAATATTTAACATTTAACTAAATCAATTCCTTAAAGAATTTATTGAACATTTATCATTTACATTTTTTTCTTGTTTGAATCTCCTATATATTTTTTTGAAAGATTAGAATTAATCATTTAGATAAAGTTCTCTTTTTTGCTAAAAAACTTAAACTTCCATATTTAATACAAAAGGAAAAATACTCTGGGGTAAGTATAGTCAAGTTTCTTAAAATACTAGTTATAACAAAATTTTAGAACAGGCTTCTCTTATTTAGTACTGGATGTATGTTCTTGCAAATGGGAGCACTAACCAAATCAGTGCTACTCAGAGTCAACACAGCATCATAATCCCTTTGGAGATGCTTTCTAGGTATACTAAACATATTATATCTGATCAACATATAATATGTAATTAACTGGTATCTTTGTCTGCTCTGCCTTTAGAATTCATTGAATACTGGATTTCACTGGAACATGCTCCACTCAGATCTATGTTCATCCACTTAAAATCTATCTGCACTTTTAACGGCCAACCACATTTCAATCATCAAAGTAATGTCTTGTTTGATTGAATGCAAACTATCTGCTGTGAAGCAGAAGACCATAATCAGAAATAGAATGTCTACGGCAAAAACACCTCCACAGAGTAAACAAAACAAACTTATTAGCAAGTGACTCTCAAACTGGGCAAAAAGAATAGTACAGTGACTGACTCACTAGGCAAGGAAAAAGACAGGATTCACTCCACAGTCTTTGACATGTAAGTTCTACAACAAAGGTCTTAGATAGTGCTTTAAATTGGGGGGAAAATTCTTTGACCCAATGTACTTAGAAATTCCTACTTGACAGTGAAGCTACTTATTAGCAAAAACGCTCCAATTTGGGTAGTGTTAATTTGTACTATTTGTATACATACCTATTCTTTAATTTCATCAGGCTTTTTTAATATGCTTCACCATGTCTTATGAATTATTTCTTCATTTTGTTGGTAAAGATGCTTCCTGCTTATTAGACACTCACTTGGTAGAAGTTACAAAATTATAGAGCTCTGTTCAGTCCTAGCTAGTGACAAACCTTAAAGAAAGTTTGCTTTAAAGAAAGTTCAGCACTTACAAAATAGCTTTAAAATACAGTTACTTTCTAATTTTCCATATTCATTTAAGTTTAGTTATCAAATTTCATAAAGCAACTGTCCACTGATATAGTTTTTACTAGTTTGAGCTAACCTCAAAACTTAAATCTGGGAAATAATATCAAAATATTAAAATCTCCAATATCCCCCCCAAATATTTTATAAACTGTCAAGTACTGTCAAGATTATCTTACATAGAATCAAAGCATTAATTAAATGAGGTTTTCCTGGAATTCACAATATAAAACATCCTTTTAGCACTGCACCAATTAATGTTATTTGCAAATATAACACATTCTTAAATGTTTGCTTTATGAAACTTGAAAGTAACATACTTCTATATGGATAAGATACACCATAAAAATTTTGACATTCCTCAAGCTCCTTAAGTGGATACTAACTTTATAAAAGAGTCTATTTAAGAGATTTTGGATAGAAACCAGGAAAAGCTTCTTAATGATCCAGAATCAGATGATAAAACGATGAGGATGCTGAAGAAGGTTAAGTCCATGTAAGCTTCAAGAACGGAAATCATCCATCTTTGAATATTAGACATTTGACAGCCTGAAGACCAAAGTCAGACTACGACATATAGTGTGGGTCCTTCTAGTTCAACTCCTGGTATTTTGGCACAAAATGAGGATAGACCACAAAAATCTATGGACATTTTCAAGTCTGGTTTTTAAAAAATATATAATACTTGAACCAATCACAGAATAATATATGGCTTCTAATTACTCTGTCAGTTTAAGCAATAGGAAAAAAAATACATTTTGTTCTGTGGTGACTATTTATTGGTTAGACTTTTATTTTCCTCTTCATATTTTCGGTGACTGTTTCCCACTGGAATCATCAACCAGGTCTCTCAGGCGAGATAAATGGTGCAAAGCCCTTCATTAAAAAGTATAAAACACATTATAAACCAATATTAAGGACTGAATAGGTAATGCAAAAAGAAATGGTGATTATATTGTTTCTTAACTTCAAAATTAGTATGAGAGATAAGTTTATGGAATAGTTTTAGTATCAAAACTGAAAAATTTTCTTTACAAAACCTTGCAATCTGAGTAACTGAGGGTTAAAATAATTCATCTAAAATTCTATAAACACTTACTTAAAAAAATTATATGTTTGACATTTAAGGGTTTTTTTTGAAAGTGTGCCAAGTAGCCTAATAAGAAACAATAATAGGTATCATTTGAGTCACACTTAAAGCATCTTTTTCATGTACTTTGCAGAATGAAATGACACCTTCTGAGATACTATGTATATCATTTAAGAAATAAAGGACATAATTCATTTTTAGCATGTACAATCAAGGCAGCTAAATTTAAATAGCACTAAAGAATTGGTTACAATTGAGGAAAACTCATTTTTATTGAGCATGGGATAAAACAAATGACAATTACATTGAATAATGCAGTATTATACCAACAACCTGGTTTTTCTCAATCATCCCTCAGACAAACCAAGAAGATAGGAGCCCTTAACTTTCCAGTCTTCCTCTAAAAGTATTCTTCCAGCCTTCCTTCTCCCTTACCCTTCAGATCCTTGAGGATCACTCAAAAATATCAGTTAATGAACCATATTTCAGATCTCTGATAAATAAGAGACCAAGAAAAACAGAAATAATATACCAGTAATCTCTAAGGTGAGGAATTAGTGAGAAGTTACTGAAAGGTGGTGTACAACACCTTATTCTACAGTCTCCAACATGGGTTCAATTGATGTATATTAAATAAATACATCTTCCACTTTACCAAGGATAAGGAGATGGAGGAAATTAGTAGTGTTAATTACTGCATTACATCTATTTCCCTGTACTCTATTTCTTAGACACTTTTACTCAAATGCATTAAGAATCTGAATTCTGCCATCCTTTTGGCAGCTTCTGTTAATTTCTGAGATTGTCATCTTCATTAACTAAATGACAATAACTCACCCAGAGTTACTAAGCAATCAGAGGTAAAATTAGACTTTATTACTTCTACATCCTAATATCTCTCTACTTAAAGAATTATTTTCCTCCTACAGACATATTTATGAGGAAGAAGATCATCTGTAAATATACTTGGGGCTTATCTTCCTTTTTCTTTTCAGGCTGTGATTCAAGAGAAAGAAGATGACAAGTGGGTAAAATCTGATGTTACTGTTTACAAATCGGAGGGTCAACAGATCCTTTAGATTTAGAGGGTCTATGAAATTGGATGGGGAAAAAAATCTTTATTTTCACAAAATGCTCTCTCTAAATTAGCATTTCCTTCCATTATGAATGTAAGCAACAGCCAAACTCTGTGACCTCATATGCCATAGAAATCAGAGGTATTTTCATATCACATTATAGTCACTGCAAGTATGTTTTATATTCATCACTACTTCAAAATTACAATAGTTATATAATAGTTACAAAATCACAACAGTTATTAAACCCACTGCTAAAACATATGCCCTCTAAGTCTTTCTGTCTACAGTCCAAAAGTTCGTATGACAGAACTGGCCAACTATTAGACAACTTTAAGTCTAGTTTTCATCCTCCAAATAGTGAAGTCTCACTGGTAACCCAGACATCAATGCCTTCCAATATTCCCTTTCTTTAATTGTTTGCTGATCAATATGTGAAATGTAAGTAAAAGAGCACACCATGGTTTAATGCTTTTATTCAAGTTATGCAAAAGGCCTTCACACTAACACGCTTTTACAAAATGAATTTTAACTTACCTGTATTTTAAATGTATTGTCTTATTTTAAATGCAATAAAGAGAAGCATATATTACTAATTAGAAATGTATTTTAATATTTTCATAGTTAATTCACTATAACTGGTTTCCTTTCTAATCCCATGTAGTATATTTTATGTCTTTAAAACAAAATGTCAGGTAGAAAGGGGAGTGGGTAATAATGGAAAGGAATAAAAAAGCTAAGTAGAAGTGTGAAATCTTCAGTCTCCCTATCTCAGCTACGCAATCATTTGGCAGTTCCTTTCATCTAACCTCTATCTCCCGTTTTGAGAATAAAGCGATCTGTTTAGAGAAGAGTCTATCAAAAGTGATTGGTATTTCAAAGTTAAGTGTAGGGAGAAAGGAAGGATAAAATTGTAGAAGGAAATTATTCTTGATTTTCTTCTCTCAAAAAGTGAAAAAGCAGGCTAATGGGGAAAACATCAACCTAAGGGTCACATTACAACATTGAATAGTCATTCACCTTAAAAACTGAAATTAAAAAACTCATTTGTTATTGTGACAATGTATCTATTGATGATCATTCAAGTAAACACTAATCAACCCACAGAAACTCAGTAACACTGATTATGTGATGGCAATTTAGCTATACTTTACTCATTGACATCTTACATTTGTTTTTCTACTAGTACTACTATACTGGCTGTTCTCTTAAATACTATGTTTACTGGCCTATATTCAGCCTAGTATCCAGCAAGAAGTGAATGAAAGGCTTTTCAGAACAAACTGCCTACTATTTCCTAGATCTAAGTAAAATATGAGCACATTAGAATAAAGAAAAATATTTGCTTTAGGGTCAAGTTTTCCAAGTCTGAGAGCTAATTTTGTATACCTCTAGTGTAGAATGAAGACCAGAAAATTGAGCAAGAAAAGAGATCTGGGCTTCCCTGGTGGCGCAGTGCTTGAGAGTCCGCCTGCCGATGCAGGAGACGCGGGTTCGTGCCCCGTTTCGGGAGGATCCCACATGCCGCGGAGCGGCTGGGCCCGTGAGCCATGGCCGCTGGGCCTGCGCGTCCGGAGCCTGTGCTCCGCAAATGGGAGAGGCCACGACAGTGAGAGGCCCACATAACGCAAGAAAAAAAAAAAAAAAAAAAGAAAAGAGATCTGAGAAATGAGACAATTTTCCAACTATCATTAAGTTTGGTTTTCACAGCATGGCCTTTAGTATTGAGAATTACAAAATCTTACACATTCATATGTGTAAGGGCACTTCATATTCACACAATCAAATCTATAAAATAAATACCCATCTCTTCTACCAATATCATGACTGTAGGAAATTCTTCCCAACTTTTTAAGAAATGTAACTAAGAAAATAAGTAGATTAACACCTTAGGGCATTTAGACCTATCTTTATATCCAGGACATTATATCCACTTAAATTTCTGTGGCGATATGTCAAATAATGATATACTTACTTAGGATTATTTATCTCTTCTAGAGGGAATATATGACAACACATTTCACGTACAAGTTGTTCTTCCAGAATATCCACACCAATACTATCTCAAATTGTTGGTATTACTCAGAAATGAAAAGAGAATTTCCCTAGGCCATTCACATCTATTATATTTTAAGTGTCTACAGTTATCTCATTAGGTCCTAAGAACATTTTAAATAGAAAATAGCACAAGTTTAAGAGAAAATCTCAGGATTAAAAATTATGCTTCAAGAATCTTAAATATACCTAGCACACCTCCTCTTCCAGCTACTTTAATTCCATCCTGTAACCTTCTGATTTCAATCAGAGATGTTTGTATCCATAACATACTCAGAAATTAACAGAGAACACTTACTTTTGAAGTGACCTATTAATAGGAGCCATACTTTCCTTCAACTGTAATTTAGAGAAATCATCTTCTGAAACCTATAATTAAAAACACCAATAAAACAGTGAAAATATTATATAATTATAAACTTAAATGCTATTTAATATGTGTGATTAATAAGAACATTAAAAATATTGTCTGCATTCCCAAGGAAGTAATTCTAAGCAAATAATTTTCAGTAAAGCATTAAATATATATATATATATATATATTTATATATTTTATTCTAAAAATACAACTTTTTCATCTTGCAACTGTCCTAAAATATGCTTCTAAATGTTTGTTCATTAAATATCAAATCTTGGCTTGAAATTATGACTTTACTGAACAAGGCTTTTTCTCAAGAATGTTTAAAAGAGGAAGGAAAAGAAGGATGGATTGCACTGTATGTTAGTGTTATGATCATTAGAATGTAAGAAAAATTAAGAACTTAAGTGAGTAGCATGTGATAGTTCCTAAAATCTAGTACACTCACTTGTAATGAAAACTGAATTTTGTAAAGCTGTACAGAATAACAAAATAAACAATATCAATTAAAATGTATTAAGTATTTTCCAGGTATTAAGTTTTTACCAGGTGCCAAGCACTATAATAAGTACTTTCTATAGTTTGTTTCAATTTGTCTTCTCAAAAATCTCATTTTACAGAAGAGGAAACTGAAATTAAGGAGGTTAAGTGATCTGTACAAATACTGCGCTTGCTAGTAAGTGGAAGAATTAGAATTCACAATCAGGCTTGGAAGAACATAAGCTAGGTTTGTAAACACTATACTACTGTGAGGAAAATTCGACCCCTATGAAATATCAGCCCAAAGCAGAAACAGATTTCCAAATTCCTAGGAAATACACAAAAACACAATTACTTTAAAATAAAACTTTACATAACCGTATTAAGAGTCAATAAACACATGGTAACAAAATTAAACTTCAGATGACAAAGGTTATGGGGAGAAGTCTAATGTTGAAAGGTTCTCTAGGCCACCTCAAATATAAACACAAGAAGTTGGACTAGACAATAATTTTGCAGGGCATTAAAAAACAACTCTTATAATCCTTTCATCTACAGTTTTAATAACATCATATCTAAATACGATGTTGTATTTATAACCATAAACTTAACATAACAATCCCTCAGGGGTACACAACTGCAAAGATCTTACAGTATTAAATTTGAGTAAGTTACTTTCTAAAAAAAAGAATAACAACAGTACAACTCTACGACATGTGTTATATACCATGCTTATTAACATAAAATTAGAGGTCAAGCTAAGAAAGATCCAGGAGGAAATCTTATCCTTCACAGATCTCAATTCACATTCATAGATTTCAATTCATAAATTAAGTTTGTGCTTACTTGTTTAATTTTGCCTTTTGGCTCTGTGGTTTTATTCTGATTAAAACTTTCTTGCACTGCTTGAAGATTAAATAACATTTGTTTCAGGGCTTCAACAGGACCATGGTGTTTCCCTCCAGAAAGGGTACAGCTCTAGAAGTTAAAACAGATGAATGATGAAGCATCCAAATTCAGAAGGGGAAAAGTTCTATTTTGTATTATTTCCCCACAATATAAAATTAATGCAAAATCCAAACAATACATGTCAATAAAGTGTTCCAACAAATCAAAACTGTAACTCATAAACCTCCCCTTACCCAGTCACTTAAAGACAATCACTACTAACAGCTTGGCACATCCTTCCCAGTCCTTGTTCTTTTAAAATGAATGGTACATGTTTACATTTGCAATGCATTCACTTAGTACATTTAAAATTATAGGTTGTTCTAACTGGAAGGTCCTCAGAGAGCAGGTACGTCAATATGCTCTTTTCAAGTGTGTAAATGATGCTGGTTATCAGCTGAACAAGGACTAGAATTTCAAATATCATATTCTCTGCACACTTCCAAATAGGTTTTCACACAGGGAATGCTGGTTTTTCACCTCTCTATGGACCACACATTCCTTGCTACCTTAAAAACACTCACACCTCGATTACCACTGATCTTATCTGCATCCAAAGAAGGCAACAGCACTTAGCCACATAAGGTGGTCAGTTAAGAGAACCTGTACAGGATATTTTTAAACTACTTTTTAGAAGTCTTACCTTTATTTTTACATCTTTCAAATGAGTTGCTGTGTCCTGATAATCATCCACAAAGTGGAAAATAGGCCTCTTAAGATGCCTATAATTTAAAATATTTCAACATGGACAGTATAACATATATACGAAGTTAAGCACAGTGGCCAAAAAGATTTTAAAGGCCCTCTCCACAGTTATATGAACAGGGTATAAGAAACAATGTGTGGGAACGTAATAAAATGGTGCAGCTCCTGTGGAAAACAGTACGGTTATTCCTCAAAAAACTAAGTACAGAATTACCACAATGATCCTGCAACTCCCCTTCTGAGTATATACCCAAAAGAAGTGAAAGCAGATTCAAGCAGATATTTGTACACCTATGTTCATAGCAGCATTATTCACAATAGTCAAAAGGCAGAAGCAACCTAAGTGTCCATCAACAGATAAATGGATCAACAAAACATGATACATACACACAATGGTGTATTATTCAATCTAAGAAAGGAAGGAAATTTTGACAGATACAACATGGATGAACCTTGAAGACATTATGCCAAGTGAAATAAGCCAGTAACAAAAGGAACGATATAGTATGAGTCTTCTTATACGATGCTATGGATTGAATTGCGTCCCCACCCCCCAGCCCAGAATTCATGGTGAAGCCCTAACCTTGAATGTGGCTGTATTTAGAGATAAGGTTATAAGGAGGTAATCAGGGTTAAGTGAGGTTATAAGGGTGGGACCCTGAAACCATAGGATTAATATCCTCATAAAGAGACACTTAAGAGCACAAGGAAAGGCCATGTGAGGACAAAGTGGGAAGGTGGCTTGTATGCAAGCCAGGGAGAGAGCCTTCATCAGTAACAGAATCAGTCAGCACCTTGATCTTAGATTCCCCCACCTCCAAAACTGTGAGAACCAAATAGCTGTTGTTTAAGCCACCCAGCCTACGGCATTTTGTTATGGCAGCCTCGGCAGACTAAAACATATACGGTTCCTAGAATAATCAAATTCATAGAGACAGAAAATAGAATGGTGCTAGCAGAGGCTGGGGGTAAAGGAGGATGGGGAGTTAGTGTTTAGTGGGTAGAGTTTCAGTTGGTAAAGCTGAAAAAGCTCTAGAGATAGATAGTGGTGATGGTTGCACAACAATGTGAAGGTACGGTACTTACTGCACAGAACTATACACTTAAAAATGGTCAGGGCTTCCCTGGTTGCGCAGTGGTTGAGAGTCCGCCTGCCGATGCAGGGGACACGGGTTCGTGCCCCGGTCTGGGAAGATCCCACACGCCGCAGAGCGGCAAGGCCCGTGAGGCATAGGCCGCTGAGCCTGCATGTCTGGAGCCTGTACTCCGCAACGGGAGAAGCCACAACAGTGAGAGGCCCGCGTACCGCAAAAAAGAAAAAAAAAAAAGGTCAAAGTAGTAAATATTATATATACTTTACCACAATTTAAAAAAGAAAGCAAGAAAGAAAAAGAAACAGGGCATAAGGATCCAGTTCCGCTTATACTCCTACAACCTTGGAGACAGCACCTGAGGCATTATCTCTAAATGATCTGCAACCAGCCACTGGTTTAGAAGAAATTCAGGTTGCCTAATGCCAACCATAAAAGTTACAAAAGCTTGCCTCTGCAATTTGCTATGTCTGCCTTGAGTGAACTTTTCAGCCAAAATTCTGGTCAGAATACCAAAAAAGAAAACTACAAAACAGATTATATGAACTGTTTTGTGCCCTTCACGAATGAATGCTTAATAAACATTGGCATGTTTGAAAGAATTTGTTCTGAGACTTCTCATTAAATCCTTGTAGTGAATGTCTCTGAGTACGTCTTTTTGTATAGTATAGTTCTGACTCTCAGAACTATAGTAATGTTTCATGTATTCAAAAAACAATTATTTAAACCACATAAAATGTGGGAATAACCCAATTTACACAATAAAAAAAATGAGCCCCCTAACAGCATTACAAATGAACAACACGACCACACTGAAAGGAGTTGGGCAGAAAATAATTAACCACGGTAACTTTGGAAAAGAATATTTTGACTGGATATTGTAAGGCAAAAGACAAAAAGAACCATACACAAATAATATAATCTAATTAGTAAATGTGTTTCTTACAGCAGTATGGGTTAGCAATTCTGAAACTATGCATATGCTAAGACTGAAAAAATAAGTAAACCTATTATAGATAATAAGAGTAAAGATTCTCACCAGATGAGAAAGAAGTTACAAATAAGGAACAGAGGGGCTAAAACAAACCCTGTGGTATTGGACTGGAATAAGTAGTATCAGTATGAACTCATGATTTTATACCTACATATAAAATATACATATGTAAATAGATATACAAATATGTATGTGTGGCTTAGTAAACTTATGTTTCCTAAGTCTGCCTGCTGAGAAAGTCTAGAATAAATAAAAACCCAGCAGCAATAAGCACACCTAGTGCGTAGATCTTAGTTTCTAAATACCATTTTCCAATAAAAAGAACCATGGCTCCTCAGAGAAGTGCTCAAAAAAGCATGGGGACATGTCAAAAGGACACAGGAGCCAACCTGAAGCAACTCTTTATGGCCTAAACTAAAACAATTTAAGCAACAAAATAAGTAATAATATTGTATTGTATTAAACCTAGAATAAAATAAATATCTATGAGTCCTAATATAAATAGTTTAATAAATAAATAGGGGAGAAGGAATAGCTCTTCATTACACAAGAATTTCAATTAATAATGCAGACAAAAAGTCAATAACCACCAATGGATACTAAATTAGTAGGTGAAAGTTTGAGACTACTTGCACAGTCTCACAGTATCTCCCCTACATTTATTAATTACAAGGGGAAACCATGATTTTACTAAAGAGAAAACCAGTAGGCACCACGTGTTCAAGACTAACAACACAAGTATTAATATATTATAATTTTATATATTACATATTATTGTATTAACATATTGCTCTGGACTGAATGTTTGTGTCCCCCTACAATTCAAATGTTGAAGCCTAATCTCAATGTGACAGTATTTGGAGGAGGGGCTTCTGTGAGGTAACTAGGTCATAAAGGTGGAACTCTCATGAATGGGATTAGTGCCCTTATAAGAAGAGAAACAGAGAGCTTTCACCCTCTCTGCTCTCTGCCATGTGAAGATACAAGGAGAAGATGACCATCTGCAAACTAGGAAGCAGGATCTCACCAGACACCTTCATCTGGACTCCTCAGCCTCCAGAACTGCGAAAAATAAATGTTTGCTGTTTAAGCCAACTGGTCTATGGCATATTTATTACAGCAGCCTGAACTAAGGAACATATCAATATTACCAATGATATCAATATATCATGAACCCTCTGATATGATGCACTGAGAAGGGCACAGCATGATTTCTGTTGCATTCTTGCCAAAAATTCATAACCTCATTCTAATCATGAGAAAACTTCAGATAAACCCAATTCAGGAACTATCTACAAAAAAACCAACTGACCAGTAACTCTTCAAAAGTGTCAAGGTCATGACAGACAAGGAAAGACTGAGGAACTGTCAGACTGAAGTAAATTAAGAAGATATACAATGTCTTAAATGCAATGCTGGATCCTGCAACAAGCCATTGGTAGAAAAACTGGTGAAATCAGAATAAGGTCTGTAGTTCAGGTAACAGTATTGGGCCTATATCATTATATGTTAACATTAGGGAAGCTGGGAGAAGGGTGACAGGAACGACCTGTATTATTTTTGCAACTTTCTGTACATCTAAAGTTATTTAAAAATAAAAAAACACCGTGGTAGTGAGGTTGTGTGTGTAAAGACATAAGAAAAGGGATTAGTTGGTTAGTATTTAACAGTCATCCATCTCAAACTTTGAAAAACTTATGCAAATTTGTGCCTCTAACCAGCTCTCCTTACCCAAGTAAATTGCACCACCCAATCCTTTAGTTGCTTGGCTCAAACATCTTGGACTCATCCTTTGAATCCTCTCTATCTCCATCCTACAAGGTCACCTTCAAAACACATCCCAAGTCTAACTATTTCTGACCATCTCCAATGTACCCACCTAACCCAAACCTTTACAATCCCTATCCTGGAAGACTGCAAAAGCCTCCTAACTGGGTTCCCTGTCCTTCTCTTGCTCCTTTCAAGGTCTGTGTTCCATACAGCTGCCTGTTTATATTTTAAAATGTAGATCTGATAATTTCATTCCTCCAAAGTACTCCAGTGACTTCTCATCTCGTTGAAATAAAACATAAAATCTTCATTCCATTGTTTACATAGCTACATGATCTGACTCCTGGTTACCTCTCCATCTTATCTCTTAACCATTCTTCCTTGTTCATTCTGATTGAGCTACACTGACTGGACTCTGATATTCCTTGCACATGCCAAACACTTTTCTGCCTTGGGGTTTCTGCACTTACTATTCCCTCTACATGTAAAGTTACTTCCCTATGGGTACACACACGGCTCATTCACTCATTTTAGGTTTGGGCGCAAATATCACCTCAAAAAAAAAAAAAAAAAAAAAAAAAAAAAAAGAGCTCTAAGGTCAGACATATTCTGACAGCCTCTACTTTCTCTAGTAAATTTCACTGAAAAGATATATATACTGTATTAAAATTTTTAGCTAATTTTTGTTTTTTTTGTTTTTTTTTTTTTTTAAATTTTTACTTATTTATTTATTTTTATTTTTGGTTGTGTTGGGTTTTTGTTTCTGTGCGAGGGCTTTCTCTAGTTGCGGCGAGCGGGGGCAACTCTTCATCGCTGTGTGCAGGCCGCTCACTATCGCGGCCTCTCTTGTTGCAGAGCACAGGCTCCATACGCCCAGGCTCAGCAGTTGTGGCTCACGGGCCCAGTTGCTCCGCAGCATGTGGGATCTTCCTGGACCAGGGCTCGAACCCGTGTCCCCTGCATTGGCAGGCAGAGTCTCAACCACTGTGCCACCAGGGAAGCCCTAATTTTTGTTTTGAGTGTTCAATCTCTCAAATCTTCCAGATATTAAAATATCAAAAGTGTATTTCAATATTTAACAGCCATGGCTTGTACTTCTAAATCATATTATATTTCATTCCTTATGTGTATATATACACATTTACACTTTATTTTAGGGTTACTTGCAAGATATATGCTGATTTTATAAAACTGGATAATAAATTTCCCATTTTAAATCATAGGGATGTATAACTGCATCTTAGAAACGTAACTCTCAATAAGCAAGCACTCTATGGGAAAACATAATTTACTCTATAAGGTTCTGTTTTGTATGTTTTCCAGAAGAAGAAAAAAAAAACATTGTAATGACAATTTGGGCTCCCTGTAGAGTTCAATCCCAGGTCACTCTACTTTAGAATACTAAAATAAAATTATCAATAATTCTAGGAGTGATGGTTTTATGGATGTGTGTTGGGGAAGAAGGGATTTGAGTCATTTTTTGTTTTATGCTATATAAATAACTTAGAAATTAATATCTATATATATTAGTCATAAATATTCTTTTAATAAGTTAAAAAGATCTAACATCACCCACCTGATTATCATTATTTAAAAAGTCTGCAAGGAACCCGTCAGCATACTTTGCCCTTGAAGTTTGTTGAACACTATCATCAGAGTTAACCGGAACAGGAGATTTGCTAGGATTTAAGGATACGAGAGAGCAAATAAGTTCCCAATTTACAAAAATTAGACAGTATATAACTGATGGTTATCATTTAAAGTGGTCACAACTAAACAACCATTAGGATTCATATTGATGCTGCTTAGTGATTCCTTCACCTTCCCCCTAAACTTCTTCCTTCATCCTGCCCTATCTCCTTGCTTCTCCTTTAAAGCTTTAAGGAAAAACTATATAGAAACTGAAGACATTAGTCTTCAACTAAACAAATAAGCCTCCAAGTATAAGTATCCTCCAAAAGCCCATTTGTTTGAAATAAGCAGTGCATTTTTCCAATTAAACATTGTTAGTTACTCAATATTAATATACAAAACTGCCAGAAATTTATTAACAGTTTCTACTGGGATGGCAGTTACATGCTCTTCTACGTCAAAGCAACAGGACAGACTTCTCCCCCAGAACTGGCACATATTAATATAGAGGACAGATTAGAGTGGGAGAAGGATCAATTTTGAAATTAAAATTACTGAGTTCAAATACCAGTCCACTCACTTATGTGACTTCACAAAACTTTATCTTAACTTCAGTTTCTACATCTGTAGTCCCACTTATGTCACAGAAGTATTGCATAAATTAACTCTATACCTGGTACACTGAATAGAGCTCAATAAATAATAGTTTCTATCTTGATGTTCAAGCAGAAGGAAAGGCCATCCCCAGCAAAAGTAAAAAATTTCCCCAAACCAAATTCTATTAGTTACAGAGAGTAAAGAAACCCATTTTATCTTTTTCATTTATATATCAATATAAGATGTATCTCTAACTCAAGTACTCAGATATCTAAGAATCTTCTTAAAACATTTAAATGTCATAATGCTAATTTTTTCTCAATAATTAGCAGCACTTCATTATTGACTCATTTGATTTGTAATTTACTAGGAACTTTTTCTCGCTTCCAAGTAGTCTTTTCTCCCATTCTTTACCAAAGAGTTTGTACATCCACCAACTATCAACAAAAAAGCATTTACCTGATTATAGAAGATGGGTGCTGGATACATAGGGAATCATTATACTATTCTTATACTTTTGTATTTGTTTGAAAGTTTCCATTATAAAAAGTTAAACCAAAAAAAAATAATTGTCTGGTTGTAGTTATTCTATCTCTCAGTACACTACTTTGAGTATTTCCCAGTCAATTTTGTTTCTGATGACAGACTGATAATAATTTGTCATTATCACACTGAAGTCAGGTCTATTCCTTCTTCTCACACCACCATTAATTTAATGTAAAACATATCCATCATAATATGAATTTAATCTTCCAAAAATCAACTACTGTACCATAAGGTACTAGGGGAAACCATTAATAATAATTATACAAGTCAGAAGTCATAGTATCTAATTACAAAATACATTTGATGCATTCAAAAATTTTACTCTTAATTTAAGCATCTCTGATATGATTTGCTCACCCATTTTGGTTCCATTTGAAAGCAAAGTATTGCAGCTATAGGATTTTACAAATACAAATACAACGAACTGATAAGAAAATAAGAAATTAGTAAAGATGAAAGATAAGTTTAAGAATTAAGTGAGCTAATTATTATTATTTTTTTTTTTTCTTTTTTGCGGTACGTGGGCCTCTCACTGTTGTGGCCTCTCCCTCTCCAGAGCACAGGCTCCGGACACACAGGCTCAGTGGCCATGGCTCACGGGCCCAGCCGCTCCGCGGCATGTGGGATCTTCCCGAAACGGGGCACGAACCCGAGTCCCCTGCATCGGCAGGCGGACTCTCAACCACTGCGCCACCAGGGAAGCCCAAGTGAGCTAATTATTAACCCAAGTTTTTTTTTTTTTTTTTAAAGATATTAATGAACCAACAAGTGCGAAATGAAGCTAAACAAACAAAAAATACTCTGGATGATCATCGCCACTATTAAACTTTTTAAGAGAGCATCATAAATCAGAAACTGTCCTAAGTACCTTATATTTACTTATTTTTTTTAACATCTTTATTGGAGTATAATTGCTTTACAATGGTATGTTAGTTTCTGCTGTATAACAAAGTGAGTCAGCTATATGTATACATATATCCCCATATCTCCTCCCTCTTGCATCTCCCTCCTACCCTCCCTATCCCACTCCTCTAGGTGGTCACAAAGCACCGAACTGATCTCCCTGTGCTATGCGGCTGCTTCTCACTAGCTATCTATTTTACATTTGGTAGTGTATATATGTCAGTGCTACTCTCTCACTTCGTCCCAGCTTACCCTTCCCCCTCCCCTTATCATCAAGTCCATTCTCCACATCTTTATTCCTGTCCTGCCCCTAGGTTCATCAGAACCTTTTTTTTTTTAGATTCCATATATGTGTTAGCATACGGTATTTGTTTTTCTCTTTCTGACTTACTTCACTCTGTATGACAGACTCTAGGTCCACCCACCTCACTACAAATAATTCAATTTTACTTCTTATTATGGCTGAGTAATATTCCATTGTTCATATGTGCCACATCTTCTTTATCCATTCATCTGTTGAAGGACACTTAGGTTGCTTCCATGTCCTGGCTATTGTAAATAGTGCTGTATATTTATTTTCTAATCAACTGAATCCTCACAACCCCAAAGTAGAAGTGATTTGTACAGTCTCAGCAAGGAAGTGTCAGAGCCAAGATTCCAAACTAGAATTAGTCAGTGTCCACTTACAAAACAGTAAGATGTTCAACTGAGAAGGAATCAAAAAAAGGATTCAGGAATTAACAGACTCTGTCTGTAACAGAATGAAGGCTTAGACAACTGAAGATAATAAATTATCAGAGCCTAAGGCAGGATATAGGATTACCAAAAATGCATTTATGACAAAAATACATGTAATAATATCACTAAAAGAAACTTTCCTACCTAAGCTCTCGATTCTTCCTCTACACTCACATTCACGGGTATCTAGGCAAACACATTTTAAATTATTCTGAGAAACTATGGCATAGAAAGGTTAAGTACACAAATGAAAACAATCTTAGAAACTGCAAACATTTACCATACAAGAAAATGCACCATTATTTACAGAAAATAATGACTAAGAAAGTAAACTGTAAATGAAAAGAAATGAATAACTCTAATACATGGAGAGAATATAGAGGAAGAAAAAACTTAAAGTAAAAAAAGTAACAAGAATTTCAAGCCTTCTCCATTTGCAAAATAGTTGCTTTTGGTTCTAATTCCTAATATTTAATATATATCAATATTTTACAGTGCAACAAAAGGACCATGTAAAAAAGACAAAAATTATATAATGTATCTAAGATTATGAAATATTACACCATCTTGTGGTAACAAATGAAAAATGCAATTTAAAGCAAGCAACACTGAAAGCTATGCTCTACAGAATTACCATGTTATTACCACTGTTAATTATTATTGTTATTTAAAAGATAAATCAGATGTTCACATGACATTCTTCATTTGGAAAACTGAATAGTTTTTCTATTGTAATTTACTTACAAAGTAACAGGAATATTTTCCCATGATCTTTCTGCTTCAAGTTTATCTAATGAACAAGGACTGTCATCCTTTTTCATAGACTTCGGTAATTCTTCAGTACAATGCTCTAGATTTCTCTTGGCCTTCAGGATAAGCAATTCAATTCTGTCACCTAATTTAAAAGATCACATTAATTAAGAAAAGAAATAAATGCAAAGCACAGTGAAACCTCACAAAGGCAACAAGAATTCAGATAATTTGGAATATACACATATCTGTAATAGCAAGCTATGTTAAAATGTGACATCTGGGGCTTCCCTGGTGGCGCAGTGGTTGAGAGTCCCGCCTGCCGATGCAGGGGACACAGGTTTGTGCCCCGGTCCCGGAAGATCCCACATGCCGCGGAGCGGCTGGGCCCGTGAGCCATGGCCGCTGAGCCTGCGCGTCCAGAGCCCATGCTCCACAACGGGAAAAGCCACAACAGTGAGAGACCCGCGTACCGCCAAAAAAAAAAAAAAAAGTGACATGTTGTGACACAAAGAAAAGACATTTTCCAGTCACAAAATGCTACATAAATGAAGACCGTAAGAGTTCAAAACGAATATATTACTTGACGGTTACATCAAGAATATGACATAAAAACTCATAGATGTAAGGTCAAATTGACAGCACTTTCTTTGGTTCTTAAAAACAACAACAAAACAAAACAATTACCGCTGAATGGCTTTTTGGATCCTGGGAGAAGTGGATTGTCACACTGACATTGGCTATGTTCAGAATCACATTTATATTCATTAACTAATCCTTTATCATCACTCAAGGAATGTGAATTGTTTGAAGGTTCAAAAGAATATTCAAAACAGTCTAATTTATTCATTAGCCGAGAAGTTCTTTGTGCCTGGTAACTATGCCTAGGGGAACAGTGATCTTCTTTAAATATTTGATAAATCCTTTGACTATCTGTATCGGGCAGCAAGTCTTGATTGTAGAGCCAGACTGGGTATTTGAAATCTGGTATACTCGTTATCCCTGAAACATTAAGGTCAGACTTCTGGCTAGTGAGCCATCTTGGGTAATTCTTTTCAAGTTTGTATTCTGAACTGTCCCTAAAAGATGATTTCTTGTTAAAAGATAAAGATGGTACAGAAACACATTTATTAACCTTATTCACAAGTTTTGGGTTTTTCAGCCTACCACACTGCTTTCCTTTTACATTTGTGTAAACAACCGGGGTAACTAAGTTATCCTTGCCCAGGAGAGTGGCTGGTTCTTGAAAATTTTGATTCTTTTCACTGTTGGATGAACTCAGTCTTCCAGTATGTTTCTTGCTTTTCTTGCTAATTCCATGACCTGCTCCAACATAAGTGAAAGAAAATGATCCATCTGCTGGAAGTTTTAATAGATCATCAGTTGTTAGGCTAATGGAGTCCATGTCATTAATAGTCTGTCCTCTACAGGATAAGGACAAATCTTTTTTGTCATCAAGATTTTCAAAAGCTGAAAAACAAAGCATAGTTCTGTTTATCTTCCTGTATCACATATAAAAATACTTTATAATATTCAACAGTAAATGAAAATTAAGAATTAAGAATCATGTTTGCCATTTTCCCTTCTGGAATATATTCTCTACTTCCAAGAGTAGAATGTAAACTTTTTCCACACTAGGGGCCATTCTGTAAGTGCTCAGTAAAGTGTTAACTGGATTATCAACAGATGCATTTTCCAAACTTGTATTCATGGAAACCTTACCAAGGAAAAACCCTTAACATCTTGTGAATATTACTGTCCTACAGAATACAGATCAGGAAGACTAATATAGCCCTATCCCATCAATTGGAATTGATCAAGTATAAATTCTGAAAAGCCGAGATTTGTTTAAAGTCATTAAGCTAGTTAATGAAAGCTAGAACCACCAAGTCAATGCTACTTCCGTTATGCTATAAAAGAACGGCTTAAGGGTTTAGGATCAGCCATCTACTATTATTAGTTACATTTCATGAGCTTCTCCTCTAAGGTCAAAAGGGGATCTTACCTGAAAACCCCTGAGAACCAGAAAATTACAGAATCATTTAAGAAACATATCCAGATCTCAATATTACAAGTCATTTTTACCCCAAAAGAAGCATTTAGTTTTCCAAGGCTACAATACATCTCTCAAAATGCTTTAAATCGGTAGGCAAAAAGAAAACAAAGAATAAAGCATACCATTCTTTGGTTTATAAACATAGCTGGAGAATTCTGGCATATTAGCAGAACATTTAGCGATGTTAATCTTTCCAGTGCTCGCACCAAGATACATATGGCTTAGATCAAAATCATCAATATAGGCCTGCAGAGCCTGAGATGCAGAACTGTACAGTCTATCCTTATACTGAAAAGAGCCATCAGAGTTAGAGGAATTACTACCACTCAGGTTGCAGCTTGCTAACAGAGAAGATACTGAAGATTCCCGAGAACAAACTCTGCGCTTTATATTTAATTTTGCCATGGCTTCCTCAAAATGGGTTATTTCTACTCATTTCTCTTAGAAACAACTGTAATACAAAAACAAAAGGTTAAAGTTCCAATTAAAAGGAATAATAGCTATACACAGAGAAATTACTAAATCTGTAAACGTTTTACAACTTTCTTTAAAAAATAAAATCCATTATCTATAAATTATTTTTAGGTAATGCACATTATAGATTATCTCTTTTAATTATTGTGAATTCCTTCATCATCAATTTAGAAAACATTTATTGATCACCTATTATGTGCCTGGAATTATGTATGCAAAAATCATCTAAGACTATGTATAGAAGAAAGTACCAAGGGAAGAATACTCACTTTTTTTTTTAAAGTCCTAAAAACTACTGATGTACAGTCTTTTCTTATGCTGATATAGTCTATGACATCACAATATCTAACATTCCCCTATACAAAATATTTTTCAATTCTTAAGCCTACCACCACGCGCTGCACATAGTAGGTGCCTGATAAAATTTTAAAAGGCATCAAATGACATAGCTGAAACAAGAAGGAACAACGGAGAATACCCACCTTCAACATTTTAAATGCCAATTTGTAACTTTAGCCAACCCCTTCCCCCAAGACTGGAGAAAACAAAATAATTTACAATATTCATTTATAAAGAAATAAACTGCAAGTCTTACCATATAATGAGCTAGCAAAATGTTCTTTTCCTAAAATAACACTGTCAATAATCATTTTCTGACATTCAGTTTTGATACTATCCTCACTATTTTCAATTCTTATGTAAAATGGATTCAGCCCACCTCTCTTTCAAAGGAGACTTAATAGTTTGGAAATTGCTTTAATGTATTCATCTGTTTTTCCATTATTAAAATTGAGAGAATTCCAGTCTACCTTAATATAGCAACAATAGGATCTATATTTGAAAACCTAAGAAATAACAGAGTGAACAGGCACTACTTCAGTAAATAATACGACATTCTTTTAGAATTAAATCAATGGATTCTCTGAAGTAAAAATGAAAGCTTAATGTCTAGGACTTAACACATGCTATGATGTTATAAAATTAATATGTTTAACTTTTGGCTATGATTTTTGGAATGTTTAAGTTTTAACAACTTTTAATGTAATCTTAATAACTGTCAAATTTGACTTTAAAATACTGAGAAAGTTTTCTGTTTACGAAGAAAAGAGTAAAAGGTCAGAGCTGACACTAGTCAGTGCAAGCAGCAGCAGAACATAAGATAATGGTCATTTAGCCTCTGATTTCCCTGAATGCTGTGATACTATTGGTATACCTCTAAAGAATGGCTAGGCCAAGTCAGCTCTGCCCTTTCTTCACCCCTCTCACTAATGATTTTAACTTTTCTCAAGTAAATATTGCTTGGATAACAAACTTGACCAAACGTTTCCTCCCTTATTCCAACACAGGACAGGTTACCGATTTTATAATTTATTTTACAAAACCTTGAAAACGAAAACAAAACCCTAAAAGGGAAAGCTGTTGGATTACAGTTCTCAGTAAGTGGGTAATAACATTTATCTTAATTCACAGGAGGCAAAAAGAAAATCCACAACTGAATTTTTATTGTGCAAAGTTTCCAAAAGTACACCAAAGAAGAAAGAAAAGTTTAATCAACTCCTATGCACCCATCATCCTGCTTCAACTACCAACACAACGAAACTCTATCCACCCACTTCTCCTCACTTCCGCCACAGAATTATCTGGAAGCAAATTCCCTGCATCTTACCATTTCTTCCGTTAACACTTCCGGGTGTATCTCCAAAAGGAAATCCATCATTCCGACAAATAGAACGTTAGCACGAGTGGCCAGAGATCTCTACTACCTTTCATTCAAAAACAGAACGTAGAGCGTTAAATTACCAATGAGAATAGCTCACAGGAAATGAAGAACAACTCTTAGAAATAACAGCTCTGATTTATGTTATGAAAATGAACATGTGCTTGTTCTGCAGCAAAAAGACAAGAATTTATGACCCTGGAAAGCGAAGATCGCTAGCGCCCCTGCAGCGGAGCATCTTCGGCTTCAAAGCTTCCGCCCTTAACTAGGAAACACCTCCCTCGGGAATTCCAGCACCCACCCCCTACCGCAGACCCAGACACAGGCTTCTCACAAACCATTCATCAGACAACAAGAGCGAGCAGCCAGTTTTGCCGAGGTGACGGCCCCTAAAGCCCAAGACCCTGCCTCCCCGCCCGCTTCAATCGCCGACAGCGCCTCGAGGTCCAGGTCAGGTCCTCTCCTTCCCATTCCGCGACCCTCCCCCTAAAGTTTCCCGCTTTCCACCGGGACTCCCATCCCGCCCCCTCCCTCGGGAGACAGCCCAACCCTCCCCTCGGGCTGTCAAAGGATGGGACGCCTTTCGAAAATACACGCCCTTTTCCGGCCAAACTCACCGACGAAGGCCTGGAAAGAGAGAAAAGCGCACACGTTCTCAATTCTCCACCCAAAGCCCTGTCCTGCCACCCGACGGGAGACGTGACAAAGCACCCAGACCCGGACGCCGCCCGACCTCAGGTTCCGCTAGCTCGCAGGTTCCTCCGCCGTCACAGCCGAGCGCGGAGCCCGCGCTCCCTTTCAAACTGACCCAACATGGCGCTGGCTTGCGGTGCGCATGCGTGGCGCTCGGGCGCTGGGGCTAGCAGGGCGAGGGGCAGGGGGCGGGGCGGGGCGTTAGGTCGCTCTCCCTGCTGGGAAGTGTAGTTTCTCCCTCCTGGTCTTTCTTGGGCGGGGAGGTTCTCGACTACCTCCGCGTCGCTACCGCGCGTGCCCTCCCCACCTCGGTCACGGCTCTGCGCGGCCGGTCTGCGCATATGACAGACTGAGCTTCCTTCGGCCAGTTTCCCGGGGCTTCGAGATGGGACGGGGCGGGGATGGGGACCTAGGGCCCTGGCGGCTGCCGTTTCGGTCGCTGAGAGCCAGCCCTACAGCCACAGTCCTTCCAACACGCTCGGCCTCCCCGCTTTCAGAGCACCCCCTCCCCGGATATGACACCGACTCGGCCGGGGGGGCAGATCCCCCGATCACTTTTTTCCGTCCTCTTCAGGGCCTTCCCCTTCCCATCCCTGAGCCCGGCCTTCCTGGGTTTCCAGCCGGCCCCTCACCCTCAAAGCAGACGCGGGATTGCAGGAGGGAGTTTGGCCAGGGATGGGACTTAACAAACTCCTTGGGGACTTTGATTCCCAGGGAACAATGGCAGTGACCCAGCACGGATTGGGGACCCAGTCAGGCAGCCCAGAAACAGGGAGATTATACAAACAGATGTAAAGACGCACTTAACAACATGTGTGAACCTGTCTACGAGGCTGGGACGGGATAGGTGCGAAGAATCCAGTTTCAACCGAGTGGTGTATCGGAAAAAGATGCCATCTCAGTGTTGGTTTGTGTTTATTTTCCACTGACCCTATGGGTGAAGATATCCTTGACCATTACTCCATCTGAATATGTTCCAGCTCCTCCGATGTTACATCACCAGGTAATACAACTGTAGTCTTGCTGTTTGCTCTTTTCTTCTCTTCACCCTCTCTAGCCCACTAAGCTTAACCTTCCCTTTTTTTCTTAGCAAATGAAAAAGTCCAGAAGCTACAAAATTTAGTTGAGTGGTTCAATTAAACACATGTTTACTGTGGCAGTAAGTAGTGCTAGTGATTTGAAAATGAGTAAGACAAAGTCCCTGCAGGAAGTTTACATGCTAGTGGTTTGTTCCAAAAATCTGCAATTTCTTGATCCTTCAGTATCAAGTATTTTGCTGGTAGGAAATAAAGAACCGTGTTATATGTGCTGGGACAAGCCCACGTCAGGGACCAGCCAGGATTATTAATGGCGTGACCTTAAAAACTTCGACATTTTTATCCACATTCCACCTAAGTATCTTTTTAACCTATTCTTTTAAAAGATAATTTCTTAAAGGTTCTTTTTCATAAACATTATCTTTAATGTTTCTCTTACTACCTTTTTCCTTCATTGAGGAAAGATATATCAAATGTTTCCAAATGAGTACATAAAGTATAAATAAAGGACACTGAGAAAATATTAAGGAAATTATCAAATATATTTACCTAATTCATGGATCAATTCTACTTCCACTTCATTCCTTCACAGGTTGAAAGCTATGGAGATCTCCACAAGGATTTGGAGAAGAGTCCTAATAATTATTAAAATTCTGGACTAGATCTACTAGGAAAGGTAAAGTAACCATGAGTCTACTAGGAAGGAGAAATTATAATGGTTTACTAATGCTTTTCAAATATACATGTCAACTACGTGCTGTGCCTTGCCGGAGAACTAAACACGAGAAAATAGATTTATGATCCCACCTAAAGGCCTTTGGGTGAGAGCTAAGGAAGATGTGTGCTGATAATTAAACTTTAAGAAGGTTTATTCAGGCAGGTCTTAGGAGAGTTTTTTTTAAGGTAGATGTAAATGTGTCCATTTGAAGAAAAAAAACTAACTTTTTGATCACCAAGAAGGGGACCGACACTGTTTCAATCACTTCTACGTATATTAACTCACTTAATCCTTACAATGACCCCATGAGATAGGTATTACTATCCCCAATCTATAGAAGTGAAAATTGAAGTTCAAAGTTTAAGCAGTTTACTCAGAATGATAAAGCTGGTGGTGAGTGGCAAAACCAAGATTTGAATCCAGCTCTGTGTTGTCATATTCTTTCCACCACACCAGCCAGCTTCCCTTAATTGAAAACTGGGTGATGGGCCAAAGGACCAATGAGACTCCACCTTCCTGAGCTCATTCAAAGCAGAAACAGCATCTTACTCAACCTTTTTTGCCACATCTACCACAATATCTAACCCTTAGCAAGGATTCAGTAAATGTGTTTGAGTTGAATTGATGTGAATTTGATCCTGTCTGAAGAGGTAACATTTAAGCAAAGACAGCAAAGAAGAGGAGTCAGTCCTCTGAACATATTGGGGAAGAACATTACAAACAGAGGGAGCAGCAAGTACAAAGACCCTGAGGTAGGAAGTTGCTTGGTTGTATTTGAGGAACAGCCAGGAGGTCAGTATGAGTGGAGCTAAGTGGGAGAGAAGGAGACGGGTAGGAATTGTCTTTGGAGAGGAAGGCAGGGGTCAGATCATTTAGTGCCACTGCCACTCACTTTAAAAAGATTAATTCCCAGTAACACGTGATCAACAGATTATGCTGCTTTACAAGAGAAAGGAAGCATGATTTAGCTGTTAGAAATAACAATTTATTGAATAACTATTATGTGCCAGACAAAGGGGTAAGACATTTAAGTGCATTATTTCATTTAATCCTCATATCAGTTCTACCAGGTTAGGTATTGTCCCAGCTTTACAACTTGAGAAAATGAGGAAAGAGAAATATGAAATAACATGGTTCACAATTAGTCTGTGGCAGAGACAGGATTTGACCCAGGTCTCTTTGACTCCAAAGCCAAAGCCTGCTCTTTTTACTATATCACATTTTCTCACTTGAAAGACTATGAATAAAAAGGAAGAGATTCATGCATGCATGCATTCCAAAAGTAGTTATTGTTCATTGCTATGTGACAGACATAGAAATAGTATTAAAATGTAACACAGCATTTTAAAAACTTTTTGTATGATTACATTCTCATCAGTCATTTGTTTTTAAAACTTTGCAGGTAGATGGACTATAAGGCACTTGCCCAACAAACTGCTCAGGAAATTTTAGGTTACTATCAAGATACATCAGGCTGCAAAGTGGTTAAGACTTCAGTAAGAAAAGAAGTTAAATATGTTTCAAGAGTTTGTTTTTTAATGAGAAACAATTCATTGCAAAGACATTTTTAAAAATATTTTCTTCTACAAGCCAAAAAAAAATTTTTACTTTTGCTTTATTTTTTGTTTTTTGTTTTCTCTGTATCTGACAGCTAATTTATTTGGGGATTTTTATTCCCCTTTGAGAAAAAGATAACTGTTTCCGGCAAGGCTTCTAAGAAATTCCGTGGAAATCTGTAAGTACAATCATTGTTTTGAATTCAATGACATTGATGTATCTAGAGTTCAATGCTGCTTCATTAGCTATAAAACGTTGTTTGATAGTGAACAGGAAGTAGAAGTTAATTATAAAGTCACTTGTTTGAAATGTAAAATTAATAAAATGAGCAAATATGTACCATCTAATTTCCAAATCGGAAGACAATCAGAAAAGAAAATCACTTCTAGTGAATAATTCACTAAGATAGGAAATTTCCACTTCAAGAAATAATTACTATAAAAATAGATTGATATTTTCTTTCTAACAGTATTGCGTGGTTTTTTAAAACTTCACCTTTCCATTAAATGAGCCACTTAAAGATAAAGTTTATTTTCCCAATATATTCCTCTTGCTAACATATATAATTTATTCTGTAAGCTGCTTTTAAGGATATTTTTGAGGATCCTGTTATTTCAGATACAAGTACTCTAAGGGAAATTGTGCTGACATTTTTAATCTTCTTTTTAAGAGTTGTTCCTTTGTTGCTCGTGATATCACATGAGTGCCGTCAGATCATCATATGCTATTGAGAAAACCAAGCATTATTTAGTTTATTTTTGAGGGGTAGGGGTCCACTCCTTTTCACTACTCTGTTTTGTGCTTATTGCTCTTTTTTTCATCTGACTATAATTATCTATCTTGTGTTTCATTTCAGTTTTTTTACTGTAGGACAAAGCTGGTATACTTTCTCTTATTCATTTAAATAATTATCAGGAAGGTAATCCCTACCTTTGTTATCTAAATAATTAATGATTCTAATAGTGGCACTTGAAAAAATAGATTGAGCAGGGAGTGGGTAACGTCAAGCCCAGGCACACTATGGGAATAAACTTTTGGATGTTTTAGTTTTTTGGTGCCTTCCAGGTCAGACCAGTGTGGACAGCAACCTATACATCAAAGAAACCTTGGAAGGTATTTATTCTACAAATACTTGCTGGGTATTTTATACAAGGTGCTCTACGCAATGCCTAGAGCCATTCAAAAAATAGCCTCAATAAGGCTGTTTTATTCAAATTTTATTCAAATTTTTATTTATTCAAATTTTTCATCAACGATATTGTACTCTTACATGCCATACTACACAGACAAAACAAATTGAAACTTTTTGCACTTGCTTTAAGAGAAATTTATATGCACTGCATACTAATTTATTTACTAATACACAGTAATATCTTATCCCAAATCTTAGTGATTTAACAGACACTGTCTCATGGTTTATGTCATCAGGAATCCAGGTGTAGCTTAGCTTGGTGCCTGTGCCTCAAGGATTCTCAGAAGGCTGCAGTCACGGTGTGGTCTGGGGCTTAGGTCGCATCTGAAGGCAGCTCTGCTTCCAAGCTCACTTACACAGTCACCGGCAGTCAGTTCTTCGTGGGCTTGTTAGACTGGGGGCCTCAGCTACTTGCCAGCGCTAGGCTGGAAGCCTTCCTCAGTTCTTGATGTATGGGCCTCTCCATAGGGCTATTCACAGCATGCCAGTTTGCCTCCCTCAGAGGGAGGGATTTAGGAGAGAGCCAAAGAAAGAGCAAACAAGATAGAAGCCAGGGTCTTTCTGTAACCTAATCTTGGAAGGGACCCCACCCCCCCATCATTTTGGCAGTATTCAGTTTATTAGAAGTGAATCACTAGATCCAACCCTGACTCAGGGGAAGGGGATTACATAAGTGTGTCAATACCAAGAAGTGGAGATCACTGGGGGCCATTTTAGAGGCTGCCTATCACACGATGATTTTGGCAAACTCTCTTTTAATTCTTTTTTACAGTTAAACTATCATCCAATAAATATCAAGCACAGCTTCAAAATTAAGACTGCTAGAAGATACACAAATCTCAATTTTGCATGCTTGTTTTGTCAAGCACTGATTCTTCTAAGTTTAGCATGTTTATGTACAGAAGGAGAGTGTGACTGGAGCAGTTAATATTTTTCAAAATATCTATATTATTCTAAATCAGCTGGGGCAGATATTTAGGTTCTTCCAAAGGAAATCAATCTGAACATGTTGGTCAGGTTGGTCTGCCTCAGTCGAAACATTTACCTCCCCCAGCTTGGAGTGAGAAGAAGGTGAGATTGCCGTCAAATAAATCAAGGGGAAAAGCCAGGGAAGCTTCAAATTTTCCAGTGCTTCAAGCTTCACAGTTTTATTTATAGGGTTATAAATAATCAAAGCAAGAAACATATGCATGTGACTTTAGACTGGACAACCAAGTGTAAACAGTGCACACTTTGGGGATATGTAGCATGGTCTAATATGGTTTGCCAAGCTAGTGTCTGGGAGAAATTATCCTTCAAAATGCCCTGTGGGGAAAATGGGTTGCATTGTCAAGTTTTTCAAAACACTCTAGACTATTTTCTCTTCTCTAAGGTTCAGAGAAGTCCTAAAGTAAAGACATCTGTCAAACTGTAATTCAGACTCTTCCAAATGTTTTCGACAAAGAACATGCTTGCAAAACATTGACCTAGATAGATAATGGGTCCCTCATCTCAGATTTGGATTCTAATAGAAGCTCTAATTGACTAGGTATGTACAGAGAGAAGTGATTTATTTTTCATTATCTCTCTACTATCATTCTCCCGCATCTCATGGATTCTTTCAGTAACTTCCTAGTGGATTCCTCATATATACCTTTACTCAACTACATCCTATTCTTCACACAATGGTTAAAGTAGATTTTTGAAATGTAATTCAGTGTTGCTCCCCTGCCTAAAATCTTCTAAAGGCTTTATTATGCTCTGCAAGGCACTATCTGGCCCCCACCTACCTCTCTGACCTCTCCTGCCGCTGCATCCTTGCTCTCCTTATGCTACAGCCACGTAGGACTACTGTTGGCACGAATGCACATCTCAGAGCCTTCGTAGTTGCACTTTTCTTGCCTAGCGCACTCTTCACCCAAATGAAGGCTGATGTCATTTTTGTTTTCAAGATCTCATCTTCATTGCTTCTCTTCAGAGTGACCTTCCTGACCAATTGGTCAAAGTTCTCAAATACACCAAGCCACTGTTTACTACCCTATTCTGCTGTTACCTCTTCATAGCATCTATCACTAGATGAAATTTACCTTCTTCATCTGTTGTGTTATTTATTATGTCTCTTATCAGAATATAAACTTGAGAATAGGAACTTGAACAAGAAGCAGACTAGAAATAAACTCTTGTTCATCGTAGTATCCCTAACACCAGAACAGTATCTGTCACATAAACACTTAATAAGTATTTCCTGAATGAATTTATGGACTTTAGTTACGTTATATTGGCTGCCAAATAGAAAGCATTTAAACATATTTGTTTCCCTTATAACTACAGAACAACAACAACAAAGCCTGAAGATATTTTCTCAGCACTTTCACCTTTTCTTATTAATTTCCCACCCAAAAAGCTCCTTTTGTGGTTAGCTTTGAGCACTTGCCTATATGCATGAGAAGGGGGCCAGTTCTTTGGTTGGAATTTTTTTCCTTTCTACCCTCAAGAGATGAAATACAGACCTACCAGCACACAGTTCAGCTGACACATTCCCCTATGTTCCCTATTAATTCCCCTATTAATCTACTGTATGTCACACACTAAGCTAAATAATTTCATTTTTAAATTTAACCCATATATCCCACAAATACTTTCTATTGCCTGTTGTTTTTCCTGTGTATAGATCACACTTTCCATGTTTCTCTGCATGCATGCCTCACACTTTTCTTGAAAACTGGACATTTTAGGGAATTCCCTGGAGGTCCAGTGGTTAGGACTCTACACTTGCCCTGCCGAGGGCGCAGGTTCGATCCCTGGTCAGGGAACTGAGATCCTGCATGCTGCATGGCTCGGCCAAAATCAATCAATCAATTTTTTTTTTTTTTTAATCCTTAAAAAAAAAAGAAAACTGAACATTTTAGGTAATATAGCAACTTTGGATACAGATTCCACCCACTCACCCAGGGCTTCTTATTGCTTGGGCATTTATTTGTTTAGTGATTTGTCTGGACTAATTCCGTGAAGTCTGTTCCCCCCCACCCCCAGTCTGCAGCCTCAGATATATGTGCCCTGATTTGTGTCCTTGTTTTTATCTTTTAGCCTGGCATCCTATAGGTCATCCCTAGGTTAACACAAGCCATTATTGGTCACAAGTTGTGCTTAGCACTCAAAGCCAGTAAGATTTTTACCCTTTACTGTCAATTCTGTGTGTGGCTTGGAAACTGTTTTCACAGTTCAGGGAGTTTTATGGTTTTGCCCTGCATGTAGCCAGTGGGCCGGTAGCTTAGAAGTTGTGTCACCAGTCATTCCCCAGAGGACATAGCCTTGGGGTACACACATTCTTCCAAACCACCAGCGACGAGTATGGTTTTATTTTAAAGTTGTCAGAATAGCTTATTGCTCAGTCAGTGATGACTCAGAGATTATGCTTAAGTCTCTTGAGCCAGTAAGACTTCAGCCCTTCGCTACTTAATCTGTGTATGGCTTGGGGAATGTTTGCAAGTCAGTCAAGCCACATATTGGACCAATTGCTCCTAAGTAGGGGCAGCCTAGCATATCCAGCGTGATTTGTCTGAGTAAGGGCAGCCTAGTACAAAGCTCCCATTGCTTCTCGGTCAGGGACAGCCTGGTACATCACTCTGAATGTTCCTTAGTAGGGGCAGCCTAGTACACCCACTCTGATTTCTCCTGAGTGGGCAACCTCGTATATCTACTCTCATTACTCTGATTAAGGGCAGCCTAACATTCACTCTGATTGCTCTGAGTAGGGACCTATGCACTAATACACTGAAGCCAAGTAACACCTCTACTCCATGAGCAAGTGGGTAGCACAGGGGAAGGATGGTACCATGGCTTTCTCAGTTTGCTCCTGTTATTCTAGGGGTGAGGGGCAATTTAGGCCCCAGGATTCACAGCCTACTGTGCCTTGGGCAAAGCCCTCACCCTACCAGTGAGATCAGGTGTCAGGAAACGCTAGTCTTCTGAGCAGTGCATGCGGGGAATAGGGCTTCTACAACATG